ACCTAGACCGCCTTCTCAGGGTCTTCTTTGGAGAGCAGAACCTGGATGAGATCTTCGATGAGCTGGTTGCACTGTGTCTTCAGCTCGTCTCGCAGGTTTATGCTCTCGGTGGTCAGCGTCTTTGCGGCTTGGTGCTTTCCTCAGCAAGATGTTAGGTAATACTCTCTAGTCTCCACGTGCTACTCCCACTCCATATGGGGTCGGGAATTTCATCGCAAGGTGGAATGTGGAAGCCCGCAAAGCATTCAGGGTCGGCCGACTGAGGATGGCATTGTAGAACGAGAGGCACCGGACGACAATGAAGTTCACCATTGCTGTGGTTGTTATGTCACCATCTCCAATCAATAGGGGCAGTGTAATCTTCCCTTTAGGCATGAGGAACTCCTCGGAGAAACCCATCAGGGTAGTGTTCACTGGGGTAAGACGTTTTTTTCCGATGTTGAGCTGTTCAAAGGCTTCTTCGAAGAGGATGTCAGCCGAGCTACCCGTGTCTACCAAGATGTGCCAAACTTCGAAGTTTGCTATCTTAGTTGTGATCACTAGGGCGTCGACATGTGGGGTCTAGACTCCTTTGAGGTCATTGTCAGTGATGGTGATTGGATCCTCTTGCCTTTTCTTTTGCTCCCTGTCGTCGATCTCAAGGAGTCACGCATACGCCTTGCAGCCTGAGCTGCTCTCCCCTCCATAGGCCATCCCTCTTGAGATCACGACAATGGCTCCGGTTGGTGGAGTTCGGCCTGGGGGTCTGGGATGTGGTTCCTTCTTCGGTTTGTCCTCCTTAATGTCGATGAATCTACCGAGGTATCCATGCTTGATCAGGTCCTCGAGGTGGTGCAACAGATTGTGGCAGTTGTTTGTCTCGTGGTCGTGGTCCCAATGGAATTCACAGTACTTGTCCATGTTCCTTTTGTTGTTTTGGGATTTCATCTTCTCCGGCCACTTGATGTAGTTGTGGTCATGAATCTGCATCAGAATCCAACCGAGAAGCGTTCAGTGGCGTGAAGTTTCTAAAAGTCAGTGGTGGAGTCCTCGGTCTTTGGTCTGGTYGGCGGTCCTATCTCTTGTTGTCTCAGTCTGCCCTCTCAGTCTTACGTTCATTGGGGTCCCTTCTCTTTCTTTCATGTTGTTCTTCCTCATCTCTCAACTGTGCTTGTGCTTCTTCGGCATTGATGTACTTTTGGGTAGGGCTGTTCACAAATAAGTTCAAACCAGACAAACCGACCGAACCCAACCTGATTTGGTTAAATTTTCTTCACAACTAGTCGGTTTCAAGTTGGAAAGATGGGTAAACTGATAATTCAATTCGGTTTTGGTTTTCATATATAATATACATATTATATATTGGTTTTAAATATATATATATATATATATATTGGTTTTAAATATATATATTTCTGATATATTTCAGTTTTAAATATATTTCCAAAAAAATATATTCTGAAATATTAAATATAATATGTATTTCCAAAATATATATATTTAAAACTGAAATATATATTTCGAAAATGTATATATTTAAACCAAAACTGACCTAAACCGACCAGGTCAGTTTTTCTTAATAGAGGGTCGATTTTGGTTTAATCTTTAGGTAACCCGAGCAAGTCGGGTTAGTTGAAAAAAAAAACTACTAAACCAACCCAACCCGACTCGTGAATAGCCCTACTTCTGGGCATTGGTCATCAGCGCAACCATAGCCTGAGGAGGGTTCTTCAAGATCGAGAAGTTGAATGGAGAGTGGCGTAGGCTGTGCATGATAGTTGTGACAGCCACCGACTGGTTCAGTGATCAGACTTGAAGGGCTTCGGAGTTGAATCTGGCCAGATACTTTCTGAAGGACTCTCCTTTTCTCTGTTGTACTTGCATGAGGCTTGCCGAAATCTTCTAGTGTTTCTGGCTGGCTATTAACTACACTAGGAACTGGTTCTCCAGCTGCTCCCAAGAGGAGATAGAGCGCGAGGGAATGGAGGAGTACCACGTTAGAGCCACTCCCTTGAGGGTCAGCATGAAATCTTTGTACATTAGGCCTTCAGACGAGTCATGCAGCACCATCTAGGTCTTGAAGGCTTCAAGGTAGTTGTTGAGGTCTGTGGATCCATCATACCTTTCAAACTGCGAAGCCCGCCATCCGGCTGGGGGGAGTTTGCCCATAATATCTTGGTTGAAGATTGGCTCTTTGGCAGGCTAGTTGTTGGGTTCCACAGGCCAAGCCATGGGAGGAGCCGTGCTTCTCTCAGCCTAGCTATGCTCTAGCTCGGCCAGGCATTGTCCGAGTTCCTTGATTTCTGTGTTCCTGTTGCCTAGTATTGGATGCATGGTCCTTTCTTTCTTGAGTATCGTCGGGTGATCCTTGATTGAACTGGATTCGGTGATAAAGACAGGCGGCTATTGAGTTCTTTTGTCGAACCTTTCTTTCACCAGAATCCGGGCAGGTCGGTGTGTTCGGTTGTAGTAATCATGTTCACGAGATTGGGCCGAGGAGACTGATCTTCTTGATGTTTGTTGTCTTTCTTGGTCAGGCCACGCCTTCCGCTTGTCCGACTGGTGCTTTTTGGGGTCCTTAGGGCGAGGATCGGCCACAATAAGCGTCGGGGTAGGAGGAGGGATGGCCTGAGGAGGTTGCACTGTAGAGCCCAACGCCTGCATCATCGCCAAGATCTAGTCGACCTTTTGTTGCAATGCCTGAAATTGGGCAAGGTCGACCGCGGCCTGTGGCTGGGGCTATTGTTGAGGCTCGCGTTGCGGATTGTGGTGAGAGTGGGATCCCAGAGTGGGGCTATTGTTTCTTGAACTGAGGTTGTAGTCAAATAATCTTGCCAACTAGGCGGAGTCGAGGTGGAAGGACAAAGCCGAGCAACAAGATCTGAAACCATGAACAAAGTCAGAGGCTCGAGGAGTTATTCCCTGGGTAGGTACTTTGACGCTCAAGTTAGTCAAGAATGGTGGGTGGTTAGGCTGAACAATTGAGAGAACAATGTTGGTCCGAGTAGAGTAATAGTTCTGGTGCTAGGAAGTCAAAAGTCCCTTACTTCAAGCGGAGATTACCTACTTATAGCCGAAGATCCGTGCCCAATTCGAATGAGGCTTGAGTTGTCCGTCGAGGTCTTCAGGATAAGACTTAATCCCTAGCGGAGCTGTCCTCCTTATCTGTACGACGCTCTCCTGTCTTGGTTGCGCTTATCTGATGACGTGGTACAAACGTGGCCAAAGTGATAAGGCAACCATGGAGGTGACACGTGGCACCCGGGGCCTACTTAACCATAACCCGAACAAATCATATGCTTAACTATAATTTATAAATTATAATTTTTATGTCTTAATGTTTTATGGGATGGAAAAAACCCAACTCTTCTATCCGACCATAAAACATGCATTGGCACAACTTCTAAGTGAAAATATAATTAATAATTATTTATTATTTATTTTCAAAAATTATAAAAAATAAACAAACATTATTCAAAAATAGTTATTAAAGAAGAAATTTCAATTTCTTTTTTTGATATGATAGATCATCTATAGAATTATAATATATTCAATCATTGTGATCAAATGATAAAATATAATTAATTAATTATTTATTTTTAATTCTAAAATATAAAAATAATAATTATTAAAGAAGAAATTTCAATTAGTCTTTTGGATATGATAAATCATCCATAGAATTATAATATATTCAATTGTTATGATCAAATGATAAAATAAAATTAGTTATTATTTATTTTTTAATTCTAAAAATATAAAAAATAAAAAAATAATAAGGATGAAATTTCAATTGATCTATGGATATGATAGATAAATCCATAATTCCATAGATCTAAAACATATTTAGTCTTTATAGGTAGAGAAAAAAATTATATTTTCAAATTTTTTGTTAATTTATATTTTCCCCAAATATCTTCATGAAATTTCCATAAGTCTACTGATAACACAAAAAAAGTTGTGATTTTAAATGTAAGAAATATAGATCAACATAAACTTAAATATTCAAGAAAAAAAAGAAATCACAAGATATTATAAAAAATTGGAAAATTTACTTATTTTTTCCATATTTTTTCAAAATTTGAAAAATCTTCAAAAAAATTAACGATTAACACTTGTTTCTTGCAAATTTTTGCAAATCTAGCACTCTAGGAATAGGGTTTGGAGTTTTAGAGTCATTTGGAGGTGAAAGAAGCATTATTTTAGGGAAAAGAAGCTTGCTTTCCCCCTTTATTTTTTTTTCAGTTTTTGGTCGTATATTTTTCATCGATATGCTCCAATACACCCTCGATACGGGTCTGATACGCATGAAAAAATATGAGACGCCCAATTTTCATGCGAGTCTCGTATCTGTTTTCCAAAGATATGATACGATACGCCTGATACAAGGCATATCGTATTGGAATTTTAAACCTTGACAGCAAAAGAAAAAAGAGAATGCAAGGGAGGAGGTGGAAGAGGAAGATGAGGAAGAAGAAAGAGGAGGCGAAGGAAGAAGGAAGAAGAGTATGATTGATGCATTTAGAGATAAAAGTTTGAATGAACACTGTTCATTTGGATGGGCATGTGCATTTTGGCACAAGTATGAACCAGCTCAAATTGGACCAAAATGTGAGAAGCTCCATTTTTAGCTTTTTTAAATAAGACCTAAAATGAGCTTCTTGCATCTTTTTGGTTAGGGTTTTTTGGCATAAAGATCTTTCTCTAATTAAACCAAAAAAAGACATAAATATGGGCTTCTATAATTTTAAAAAGCCGATAGCCCAAACAGTAATACTTGCCAAACGAGGCCTTTATTAATGGTGTTTTTAAGGCAAAAATTATATTAATTTCAGGTAAATGTCAAGCAAGATCCAAATCCGATTTATTAATGGTATTTTTAGTCCAAAATTATATTAATGTCAAGCAAGATCCGAATCCGATCTTAATCCGATGGATTGGGCCTTGGGCTTTTACATCTAGTCGTTTAGTGAATATAAGGGCTCCGTGGCCGCCACTTCCGTAGAGCTAGCATCGACCATCTTTGAAACCAGGGTTTTATTAGAGGATAAAAGCGGCGAAGGAGAGAGTGAAGAGATCTCTCCAAGACTCGAACAGAAGCGGCGTCCCCGGCGACGGACGGTTCCCGGTGAGGCTTCCATTCTCTCCTGTTGAAATAATCTGTTAACTCATATCTCATTCTCTGGTTTAAGCTGCGATTGTTAGGGCTTTTCTTTGTTTTCTCTTCCTTTTCAGTTGGATCTTGGTTGTATCAACTTGTTGCATTTCTGAACCGATATGTTAAATCTTGAGAAGCACTACTTGATTTTTCTTTGATGATTTTGTTTCCTTGTTAAGTGATGCGGAGGTGTCATCAAGTTCCTAAATGAACTTTTATGTTGCCTTCTTATTGATAGGGGTGGTTAGAGGATTGTGAGATCCGAAAAATGGTTGGTTTCATGAACTGTGATGCATTTCTGTTGAATTCATTACTAACTTCTGTTTATTACTTGTTAGTTTGTGCTGAATCTTTGGACTGATAAGTGCATTACTTCCTGGTAGACTGACTAAGAATTTGATTTCAAATTGATTATAATGCGAAACAGAGCATCAGACTTCTTGTATTGCGAAAACAACTCGAAGAAATTGTTTAGCAACTTGCAGACTAATCTAGTTTAGATAAAGGAAACGAGGTTCCAATTCGAGAAAACGCTAATAAACATCAAGTGTTGTATTCATTATAAAAAAAAAACATCAAGTGTTGTATTTTCCCGGTGGGCATTCCTAGAAGAAGGTCCATGACCACCACAGCAGCAATGTCTCTCAAATTCTTGGGACGTATAGAGAATTAGAAATGGGAGGCCTCTTGTTGAATATAATCAATTGGCATGGGAAAATTGGAGGGTCCTTGTGTGCTTGCCACCAGTGTTAATGGACCTTAATTTGATTTCAATTTGGCTTTAATGTGAAACATAGCATCAGATTTCTTGCACTGCGAAAATAACTTCAAGAAATTTCTTAGAACTTGCAGACTTATCTAATTTAGATAAATAAAACGAGGTTCCAGTTTGAGAAAACACTAATAAGAACCAATGTTGGATTTTCCCTGCTGGCATTCCTATTAAGAGGGTCCATCACCACCACAACAGCAATCTCTCTCAAAGTCTTGGGACGTATAGAGATAAGAGGCCACTTGTTAAATATAACCAGTTTGGCATGGGAATATTGGTGGGTCCTTCGGCACTTGCCAGTTGCCACCAATGTTAATGGACCTTATACTAAGTCAGCATATCTACATGATATTAGGCTTTATTGGCACAGCTTGTTTTCCTTTAGATAAGTATCTTCAATGAATTATTTTTGGATAAATCATCATTATCATCATCATCCAAGCCATATCCCAACTATATATGGGGTTGGCAACACGAAGTCTGTTAATGGATCTTGATTTTGGATAAATATTGCAGCCATTTGTTGCTGGAATACAAGTTTTATACTCTTACTCTTAATGTCATTGTTCAGGTAAGTCATGGTTAAGCATAACAATGTTGTGCCCAATGGGCATTTCAAAAAGCATTGGCAGAACTATGTCAAGACTTGGTTCAACCAACCGGCTCGCAAGACTAGAAGACGCATTGGTAAGAAATTTTGTTCAATCAATTTGTTTCTATTTCCTGTTTTGGGCTTTCTTTGTGATCATGAATTCACGACGCTAAGTTATGGTTGGTTGTTCATGTGAATTTTCCATGACAAACTTTTTCAGCTAGGCAGAAGAAGGCTGTAAAGATATTCCCTCGGCCTACAGCTGGACCTCTTCGCCCCATTGTTCATGGACAAACCCTCAAGTATAACATGAAAGTTAGAGCAGGAAGGGGATTTTCTCTTGAAGAGCTGAAAGTAAGATGGTGATATTTTATCATAATTTCATGTGTACTTTTTTGGTTCTACATATGAATTTTTCAGTCATCAGGAACAGTTTCCCAGAAAATGATGGGTGAACAATTGTAATATTTGAAGTAATTAAAACCTGTATATTGCTATTTCCAACCCTCGGATTTGGAGGAGATATTATAATCATTAGATATTTGAAGTAATTAATGCCACTGGGAGGAGATATTATAATCCTTGAATGTATTACAATCCTGCAATATCTCAAGTGATAGATAATGTCTCAAATGATAGATTTAGGTATATATTGTGTTCAGTTGGCTCTTTGTAATCTTGCAATTCTTCCTGGATTTTGTTTTTCTGCTTCCTGAACCTTGTTACCCTTTGTGCTTTCCAGGCAGCAGGCATTCCAAAGAAGCTTGCCCCTACCATTGGCATTGCAGTTGATCACCGCCGCAAGAACCGATCTCTGGAGGGTCTTCAAGCTAATGTTCAGAGGCTGAAGACTTACAAGGCTAAATTGGTTGTCTTCCCAAGACGTGCCCGCAAATTTAAGGTAAACACAAATTTTGAACCTTTTAGTCAAGAAACCCTGTAGTTTTTAATTTTAAGCATTGGATCCTTGCTTCCATGAACCATGTATTTCTACTAACACTACTCTTGTTCCAGGCTGGTGATTCTAGTGCAGAGGAACTGGCAACAGCCACTCAGGTCCAAGGTCCGTACATGTGCATTGAGCGTGAGAAGCCATCTATTGAGCTGGTGAAGGTTACAGATGACATGAAATCATTTAAAGCTTATGCAAAACTGCGTGTTGAACGGATGAACCAGCGACAAGTTGGTGCAAGGATGAAGAAGGCTGCAGAGGCCGAGAAAGAAGACAAGAAGTAGTAAGTTGTGACTAGTTAGACTTTGTAACTGTTGACATAGACCATCCAAATTTGAGTTCATTTCTTATAGTTTTGTCCTCCTGATTTACCATATCAAACCTCTTGAAATCATTTTGGATGTATATCCGCTATTTTTATATCTATTATTAGAGCACTCTGGTTAAACTCCTGTTTTGGGGGGATTGTGTTCTGAGGAGTAGATTTTCATGAAAGGAGGTCCTGTTGTTATGCAGGTTTGGATGGAAGATTTAATTTTCTTTGGCATGCAAGTTTTGTTCAAATTCTTTTCTTTCATGCCATTAAAATTCTGCAATGGGCAGGGAATGCACCTGCTTTGCGCTTGAGGAACTGATTTATTTGCCAGGGATCATCTATGAAGGTTTCAAAACCAATATCTTGTCCTCGTCTTTGTCATATGTTTTGACAATTACAGATGAAATCCACTCCGGATTTTCCCTTCAACTTTAGTCCACTTAATTTGTGACACCCCAAAAGAGGACGGTAACCAATTGGTAAGCCCTCTTGGGTTTCTAAGTTTTTATTAGGGTGAATCTTCTTTTGGTTTTCACCAAAAGAATAACTGGTTAAAACTTAAAAAGTTTGGCTGACGTCAAATTTTATTGACATGTTGAATGGGTTTGAAGGGAGAAGTGCAAATGCACCGGATGAAATCGTTCCTGTGGTTAAAATGAATTGGGCTTCTTAGATATTCCTTAAGGCTGTGTTTGGTTGGAATGCAAATAAATTTGCACTGATGCAAAATTATGGCAGTTCAAATGATTGGAGTGTAAGTTATGACCTATTTTTGTTTCAAAATTTATCTAATGTTGTTTGGTTGCAATTTAAGTAAGTAAATTAAGACATGAAGCAGAATAAAATAAAGGGAAAATTCCCGATTAGTACCCTGTACTTTGGGCCTAGTGCCACTTTGGTCCCCAACAATGTTCAAAATTTCGTCACGTATCGGCCGATACCGGTTGATATGTATCGTTTCAGCAAGTTTTCAGCACGGTACATGGTACCAAATTGAATGTGCCGTATCTATTCGTCCTATCGTGTCCGTATTGTTGAGTATCGGTGCATTTTGACATTGTATCGATCGATATGCTATTGGTATGGTAGCGTATCGATCTATCGATCGATATAGTACGATTTTATTGTGGCGGAGACGCAAATATAACTCCCTTCGAAAGAAGACTTCTAAACTCATTTTAAAAGCCTTTTTTCTTTTCCAAACCCTTCAAAAAGTTTTTTAACCTTTTTAAAGGCTCTAATCTTGTAAAAATTTGCCAAAACATCTATAAATTTGTAAGATTCAACAAGTTTTTCAAGGTTGTGAAAAAAAGGAGTGAAACTAGATATGTTTTTTCAAATTTCTTTTACATTTTTAGCCAATGTTAGAAAAGATAAGGGAAAAGAAAGTGGTTTGCCCCCTACCCCTTCAATTGGGGGCTTCACCCCCAGACTCCCCCATCTCCCTTTTAAAACATTGATATTTATTTTTTTAATTTTTAGAATAAAATATGCAAAATAATTATTTCATCTATTCTGTCCATAAATCCATTCAATTTTTTGTTACATATTTACTTTTCTTAATTTTAATTTAACTTTTAGAATAAAACATGCAAAATAATTATTTGAATAAAAATAAATAATTATTTAGTTTTTAGAAAATTAGAATAAAACATGCAAAATAATTACTTGATCTATTATGTCCATAATTAGATAGTATGTTTATATTCCCAACTTCCCGTTTATTGATTATAATATGTTCTTTCGTAAAACCCACTAAAATGTGTTATGTTTATGCATAAATAGCTCATTTATGTCTTATATTTAGTAATATTGATGTTTATTTATGATTTATTAGAGTATTTATAGCATTTCCATGTGTATCCTAATTTTTTGTCCGTATCCATATGTATCCAAGGCGTATCCCGATACATTTTTTAAATTTTCCTTTCCGATACGCATAGCGTTTCTGATACTTTGAACCTTGGTCCCCAAACTTTCAAAATGTGACAATTCAATACCTACTATTAACTAGCTTTTAACCCTATTAAGTGGCATTTGAAAATGATACAATGTCCTTCAAGTGTTATTTAATTTTCTTTATCAACCATCTAAATGTTGACAAACAAATAACAGTCCCAAATCTTTGCTTTTTCCATTCAAGAAAGTTGGAGTCATGTTTGAGTGGGCATTTTGGTGACCCCAACTTTCTTGAATAGAAGAGACAAGGATTTGGGGCTGTTAATTTTTTGTCAATGTTTGGATTGTTGATAAAGAAAATTAGATGACACTCGAAGGGCACTTATGTCTTTTTCAAATGCCACTTAACAGTTAATTAATAGCAGGTACTGGATTGTCACATTTTGAAAGTTTGAGTACTGAATTGTCACATTTTAAAGTTTGGGGACCAAAGTGACACTAGGCCCAAAGTACAGGGTATTAATTGGGAATTTTCTCTAAAATAAAATCCAAAACAAAATTAAATGACAATTTGCGTTTTTTTATTTGCACTTCCATGCATTTGTACTAGTGTAAATAAAATTGCACTGCAATTACAACCTAAAGGATTGGTGTCCATTTGACCTTCAACAACTTTCTGCCTTGAAACTTCTCTTGCCGCATGGATGACTGAGGATGTTTTGGTTCGGGGAATGAAGTGTCATTGTCTTTTCCTTTCGCCTGAGGGTGTCAATGGACTAGGAACCAATTTAAATTAAAACAAATTGAATAGATTGAAAGGTCCAAACATTGAATTGGACCGGTCCAAAATATTTATGGTTTGGATCAGACTTGGTGCATTTGTAATGGACTCACATTGGATTGGATCGAATTGGACTAAATCCAGTCCCCATTTGAAACCCCTACTTCTGCCAATGTTGGGAAAGAAAAAGAAATTTGAGGATGTTTTGACTACCATAACTATGAAAAACTGCAACATGGAACCATTGGGTTATGTGAGGAGGGGGAATGAAGACATGGAAAAAGCTAATAGGTCCCTGGTGTAGATTGTTTTCCTGGGGCTGTGCTTGTTTGTAGGTGCAAAACTGAGCCGGATGCAAATTTTGCACTTGGTTCAGCTTTGCATTTGTTTGTTCGTACTATTATGAATTTCATTCTCATTTGATGCAAAATTTGTACTTTGTCTCATTTGTATTTATTGATAGCACAAATTTTGCATCACCACCTTCCTTATACCTCAATTCTCACAAAGGTTTAAACATTAACATGATACACCTAATACAGGGTGTATTGTATTGGCATTTGAAGGCATGATAGCGGTGCAATGGCACAAGGGCCATTTGAGTGTTTTAAGTCAACAATTTGCTATCTAATATTCATCCAAACTTTTTTACATAAACTATTGTTAAATCAATGAGTTCAATCCATCTTACAGTTTTTTTTTTTTCTAGCAATGGAAATCATTTAAAATATGTATTTCTTTTACAATTTCTTTTGGAAATTTCTAATTCTTTTGGAGAAAATCAATAGATGTAAGAAGTTTGAATCATTAGTCTGATTGGATATACATAAGCAATCCAAATTATAAGATCGTTCTATCATTGACTTTCATGGAAAGGAAGAACTATAAGAATGCTTTCATCTCACAACAATTTAATGTGTCTTGTAATGAATTTTAGTAGATTGGAGTCTCAAACATTGTTTGATGTATATCCCCCCCACAAAAAAAAAAAAAATAAATAAAACACTAGATTTAGTTTTACTGATGTATCTAGGAGATTTGTAAGAGTTGTGTCAAAGTATCAATGTGTATCATTTCTTTTCACCATATCAGTGCATATTCAAAGTGTATCTTGGCATGGATTTGTATCTATGTGATATTAATATTTTGAACCTTAATTCTTTTTCATATAAGGTGGGGACAATATCATCTTTGATAGCACTCTTTCATCTTCCTGTGATGGGGCTGGTTTGGTGGTGAGAGACCATAATGGTTCCTTCACAGTCGCCTGTTCTAAGGTTTTCGAAGTGTGTTCCCCTGTGGGAAATGAAGCTTTAGCATTAATATAAGCTTGGAGCAATCTCTAGAGTTTCAATTTCACCATGCCATTGTTGGGAGATGCACTTATTGTGATTCAATCCTTGGTGAGACCTCTAAGGCTGTGTTTGGTTTTCTATTTTGGTTTGTGGTACCTTTGATGTGTTCTTTTCAAAAAGACTACTCTAGTACTCTGAGCAACTTAATTGAATGAATTGTCACCAACTAAGGGGTGGTTCAGTTGGTATGTTATCTAATTTGTTCTAGCATAGGCATGAATTTGATTTCTGCAACCATCGACTTTGGGGGCGGGGGGGAGGGAGTTATTAGTAGAGTATATCACCAAATACCAAAAAAAAAAATGAATGATTTGCCTTTCTTAGGTGTAAAAAAATCCTAACTTGCCATTGAATATTGAAATTTCTCAAGTTCTAGGATCATTCTTTCTAAAATGATTGTTTTTTCAAAAGAAAAAAAAATCTTTCTAAAATTATCTATTTACCATTACAAGTAGAAGTGAAAATCCTAGCATTATAAAGGAAAATATCATGGTGCTCCACTTGATGTTAGCCGGCTTTGACCTAATAATTCCAAGGACATAGATGTAGATCTGGCTGAGTTGGTTGTAAGGCATCTCACATAGGTTTAAACTGTGGATAGGTTTCTATGGACATGCCTTAGGATCACTTAACCTCTTTTCTAATGTTTAGAGATTGCTCATGCATCCGTGCAAGCTTTTAAAAATAACATGCATTGCAGCTCAGAAAAGACCACCCAACTCTTGTCTACTATCCATTTTGTGGGGAGTTGATGCTATTTGATTCAACGTGATCTGAACATGCAACAGATAGTTCTACCAACTTGGATGAAGCCGAGGTGGTAGGATGGAGTTGTGTATTGAGTAGATCTATAAGCAAAGAGATAGTCAAAGGCACGAGGATGAGGTCCCCAGGGAAGGCACTCCAACGCTCAAGACAGTAAGAGAGTGGTAAAGTCAGTCGGGCTGAGCTATTGAGGATGAGCTAGTCTGAGCCAAGGAAAAGGTATGAGAGCTAAGGGAACAAGAAAGTAAGAGAGGTAAAAGATGGTGAGCCTTAGGGGAGATGCCTTTAAATAGCCGTGTGTTTGTGTTGTATTTGGATACACTCCTTGTGGGGTTGTAGGGATGAGGCCACCCACCAAGGTCTTCGAAAGGTTTCGCCTTCCTTGATGCGGGTGCTTATCCTTGGGAGTGTG